AATGATCGCCCTGACACAGTAAACCTTTGCTGCAGTGGAGAAAGGCAGTAATTTAGCACCTGGACAAATTCTTTTGGGATTTCTGCACTGTATGGAGGCTGACACATCCCTTAAACAAAGGTATGTGTGCTATAAATGCACCTTTTTCTTTCCCATAAGTCTGTGTCTTCACATAGTTTACAACTGTGCAAAGACCCCAGGGCTGACTTGTACGGTCATAGGAACAAGTCTATCATTGAACCGAAGTGTTTAGTTCTTCAACAGCCTTATCTAGCAATGGCAGCAAGAATGGCATTTGGAGCAGGATCTCTACTTATATGTAGAAAGCAGCATTTTGGTCAAAATGCCTAATGGCAATGAAGTAACAAATAATGGCCAGCAGCATTATGCACACACTCTTTAAGCTGAGAGTAAATTACTAGCATGCCTTATTTTCTAAAATCAGAACTAGTCCAGTCACTTAAGTGTATGGGAAAAACTCTTCAGCTGAGTCCCTCCCTCTGGTATATACATTCTACATTAAGTTACATAGTCACAAAATAGTGCTGTTGAAAGGAGTCATCACTTAGAACCGAAACCACATCAATACAACTAATCACACCAGCCCTCTTCCATACTGCGAGTCTAATGGCCTCTATTTACAGCCTGTAAATAAAACTTATCTAAACTTTTTTTCACTAAAAGTAATACAACTAATCCCCATTTTTTTTAAGAAGCAGCTTTGATACCCGCCTGCTGCTTCAAAGCTATGAGTACTTATAGCTTCATGTACTTATATAGTACATGATATGTATTTATATACGATACATGTATTTATATACTATAGTACTTACATACTATATACTTATATGATATGTACTTATATACTATAGTACTTATATGAGTACTTACATAGCTTCAAAGCTATGACAGTACTTATGATGGCACTCAGCAGAACACATTTGCATGCTGTCCAGTCAGCATGGGAAGGCTCAAGTGCAGCCTTTCAGATCCCATGGAGATTTAAAAAAAACCCTGAAGTTCTGTTTCTTAACAGAACTATGCTGCTTTCCGCCCCCCCCCCCCACACTTCGGCAGAGGACCG